CACCCTAAGATGTTGAAAGTCAAACAAGAACCAATATCTGGAGTAAGTAAACTATCTTTAACATTCTCTCTTGTTTTATTTTAAATTCCATTTCAAATGTGAAACTGCTCTGATGTACACAAATTCCATTTCAAATGTGAAACTGCTCATGTGAAACTTAAGCATCCCTTTGCCTTGCTTACAGATGGAATATTGTGAAAATGTGTCTAGGGAATAGTGGATATTCACTACTAATGCAAGTGAAATTGGTCCATTTAGAAAAATGCATAAGAAAACATCTGCATGACAATGGAGAAATTCTCTGAGATTTTTAATGTTTTGGTAAGCTGTTAGACAATCCCTCCAAACCCTATACCCACAAAACAGCTATTTCTTGTATAACATCTAGCACAATTGGAGTCTGAGATGACTGAGACCCTGAATGTCATTGCAATGGCAGCATCAACATCCACTAACAAAATCTTCATTTGGCTGCTATACCTACAACTGGATTTGTGCCATCTGTAAAATCCTTGAATAAACATATTCTAGGTCTGCAGAATATTACAGTCCAATCTGTACGCATGCTAAGGAAATACATCAGGCAATGCCTGTTAGCATGATTAACAGGATAAGACATGGCCACATTCAATGAAAATTAAAGAGGTTTAGATGCAGTTATGTTCTGGATCACTGGAAATCTGTGATTTTTCATAAGCAACTTTAGAATTGTTTAAAAAAATGCATACTTATTATAAACGCTCTGAAACTGTTAACCATTTGTCCTCATCCTTTTTTTGTTGTTTTTGTTGAAGAAAATATATTAATTTACAGTAGGAAGATGAAATTCATTTCACTTGGGCTCAAAAATGTGAGTCACTCTTCAGCGCAGGTTTATTAGGTGTCTATTAGTATCATAATAGGTAAACCAGACAAAAATAGCTTAGATTTTATGTATTTGTTTCTTGATGTCCCTGGCTCTTGCAGTAAGTTGTTTAATGCAACATGTATTGAAATGCACTGCCCTTTAACAGGACATGGCTTTTCTTATGCATAAGACTACATTAGAAAGCCTACTGTGTGAGTGGCACTCTTCTTCATGACAGCTACAAGGATAGTCAATGAGACTGGAATATTGCTCCTTTCAGCCTAGACCCTTTTCTTCGATTACTGAATAGCAACTCAGAATGCAAGACTACCAGGTGCACAGTCTTGCATTAAGAGTTTTCACAAAGAATTTCTGCTATGATGTCAGGAGCACAGGGTGGCAGAGAGGGTTCAGGGGTGGCATGACTCCAGTGTTACGAACCATGAATAATAAGAAGTGCTATGATGTAGCAGGACTGCTATTTTCAGCAGATATAAAGAAGTATTACTGCTGCTGCATAAGGCGTTAGTAAACATCAGGTAAGGCATGGTGCATGTTTCTAGTCGTTTGTGTTAAAAAACATGCAGAAGACGACTAGTGGGGTGATCATGGAAATAGAAATTCTATTTTACAAGAGGTTAAAAGAATTGAGGACTGTGATTACTCTCTGTGAACACATTTGAAGAGCAGATACCAGGGAGAGACAGAGTTATTTAAGTTAAAGGATAGTACTGGTCCAGGGTCAAAGGAGTGTAATTTCCCCTAAGTCAGGCAATTATGATAAGGTTTCTAACTTCTGGATGGATGAAGATATGGAACAGCCTTTCAGAAAAGATAATGGCATAGGCACCCTAAATTAGTTCAAGAAGCTTGCTTAAATCATCGCAGGAAAACATAACAGCAAAGGAGTGATTCTGAATATTATCAATGTGTTTACTATCCTCCTTCTACTATTTATACTGATTTACCTAATTAATCCCACTGTTCAGGGCTTTTGATGGTCACCTATGACTAAGAAGAAACAGATTTCCTCTCTTTATTTCTGAGACATTTTCTCTCCTTTCTCTTAATTAAAAAAACCAATTGCTACAGCTCAAGATAGGAATCTGATAATATCATTAACAAATAAATAACTAATAATTTGTATAATAAACTAAAAGCATCACTTTTCCTTTCTTTTCAAACTTGGAATCGGTGATAGAAGTGTTTTGTATTTTTACACAGAGAAGGTCAGACAATGTTTCTTTCCAGTTAACAGGCACTAATAAAATACTTTTGAAATGTTTTACTCATTTTTATCTTTTTAAGAATCTATGATCCAGATTTTGAGTCTAAACAACATGAGAATAATCTATTACATGTGGAGTCCTAATGCTAAAAATATGGTGAAAAAAGATTTGTTGTGGGAGAGCTGTGACAGATGATTACAACAGCATTCTTAAAAGAAGTAACACTTGCAGCTCTCATAGGAAAAAGTGACTTATTTGGAAACAAAGGAGGATGCAATAGCTTTTCCTCTGTCCCATCAGCAGCTTCTGTCCAAGAGAGAATTAACTCAAGATATTAATGTGTGTTAAGAAAGCTCACAGCTGGAATGTTTCTCTAAAGCCTGCTGGTTTGCTCCTCCTATATATCTCCTCTTCTAACCATATACTCACTCAGCGTGTGCATGTGCCAAGCCAGCACTCTCTGGGCTTAGGTTGACTTGGAAACGAGAAGGAAACCGCTGTTTGGGGTATTAAGGAACACTACAAATAGTGAGCTGCTCTCCCTGGGTTTTCGCTTTACCACACCAACCATCCTGATCCAGTCATTGGCATCGACCTTAATCACTGCACTTTGCTTAACTCTTTCATTAAACTCTATTAATAATAATTAAAAAAAAAAAGAGGTATGTGAAGGATTCAGCTTCCCCAAGAGTATAAGTTGACATTCTTTCCCTGCTGATCTAAAGGGAAAGAAAAACATATCAAGAAATAATTTTTAAAACAACTGTATAAAAGGTCTGGCCTCCTGTTCCTTTGGGCATTACAACTCCCTCTGCTGTGTGAGAGCCCTGGATGCACATTTCTCCCATCCTGCTGCCTGACAAACTAAAGTGTCTTCAAAGGCAGCATTTTTTTTTGCAGCATTCCTTTTAGTCAATTAAGGAGATACGGAAGAATTACAGCGAGAAAACGCGAAGCTGAGAATGTCACATCTCCTTTAGCTCATTTTGCAAATGATTGGCAAAGAGAGATTCTGAATATCCACGGTAGCAGTGGCTGGGCCGTAAATCAGAAATGTATTAGTTTTTACCAAAAAAATGTCTCTTAGGCAAGCAAAATAGTTGTGGCCTTACAAAACTCTGCCTACCACTACAAACGTTAGAACATAAATCGCTTATTTGAAAAAAAAAAAAATATATATATACACAAAAGAAAAGCTGAAGTAATCTTGGTTTTGGCTTGGAGATGCAATTTAGTTTTCATCCTGACTGTAGAGAAAGACTTTCTGCTCTCTGAGGCTGTACTGATGAGAACCCAGGAGAACTGAGTGCAGGAATGAAAGACATGGTGCTACTTTTAGCTGTATGTCCTGTACAGGACTAAATCTGTATGGGATAGGAGAAGATAAGATTTAGGGAGCATTTATTGGCTGTGGCATCTCTACTGCTGGAAAACAGAGTGTTTTGACAGATAGTTTGTTCTCCTCAATGTAGGGACTGTGCCCTTTCTCTGAGCAGAGGTTCCTAGCACACACTTGACACTCTTAACTGGGTAGATTACGGAGTGTTGCTTTGCTTTCTTGCAGAAGTCAACAGAATAATTTGGAGGATTCATAATATTCCATCCCTTCTTTGCTCCTACTTCCTAACAATTTCATCTCTGTAAGAAAAAACTCTGCTTAGACATGCTTACAAGGCATTGAGTGCTTCTACCCTGGCCCACCGAAGTACAGATAGACTTAATTCTCCTCCTGGATCAGGAACTCATTCCTTAGTCTGGGTTCAAGCTCTCCAAGCCCAGCTGGTGACAAGATGACAGTAGATTTTATTCCTGAGATCCAATTTTTCATAAAAGCACTCTGGGCACACGTTCAAATGCAGCTTAAGACACTTAGGAACAAAGTTACAGTAAAAGTACAGGTGGCCAGGGCACATTTTATATCAGAGCAAGTTCCTAAATCACTTAAAGCCCTGTAAAAATGCGCCTGAATTTCTGGCTATGTGAGGGAAGTGACAGAAGTCAGCAGTGAATGACCCTGATGTGGGAAAATGAGTAAGTACACGCTTCCACCTATTCTTTTTTAGGAAATCACAGGAATGTGAGACTTCATTACAGGGATTTGAGCCCCAAAATGCATGTTTTCTGTCAGTGAGGCAGTACCGGGAGTACAATAAATGTTGAGATGATTCACTAATTCACGGTGAGAGCGGAGGCAGGCGGGCAGGGCCTGGAGAGCCGCCATCAGAAGAAGGCCCCGGAGCCCTGGCCACCCCACCGCTGCCCTTCACCTCCTCGCTGCCCCCCCGTAGAGCTCCTCGGCTTTTTCCACCGTCGCAGCCAGTTCTCGCCGCCGGCTCCACTCCCCCTTCCAGCCCCCCCCGCCCTCAACCTCCGCGCCGGGATTTACCCCCCCGCTCCCACCCGGGGCGGCCGCAGGACCCTGCGCACAGCGGCTGAGCCGGTAGTACCGGGCCGCCGCCGCCACCCCTCTCTGCCCGCTCTCTGCCGGTGCTGGGCCCGGTCCGGGCCCGGCCCGTTGCGGCGCTCACCGGGACGCGGCGGTGGTGGCGCCCGTCTCCATGGCGACCACCACGCTCCGGGGGCCTCGCGGGGCTGTCCAGGCGGGTGCCTGCACGGCGGGGCCGGGGCCGCCCCTCCACGGATCAGCCGCCGGGGGAGAAAAGAGGATGCGGGGGACGGCGGTGGGGGATGATGTACCCACCCCGCAGGGGCCGCCTCGGTTTTGCCCGTTCAGGCGGCTCTCGACCCCGGGGGGTCCTTCCCGGCCCATATCCCGGAAGGCAGCGCGGCGGCTCTCTCTTTCGCCGCCATCTTGATTCGCAGCCGTGGGGGGTGAGCCGGGGAGCGGCGGCGCGGGGTGAAGGGAGGAGGGGGCGCTGCCCCCGCCATGGGGCCGTCGGCGGGCGCGGGGCTCCCGGGGCGTTGCGGCTGCGGCCGTGCGGAGCGGGTAGAGGGCGGGATGGCGCCGATGTGCGGCGGATGGGCCCGGCCGCAGGTTGAGGCCCGCGGCTGAACGGGGGGGGGCGGAGGCTGAGGCGCCTGGAGCGTCCTGTGCTGTGGGGACGCGGTGGGGTCCGCTTCCGTCCCCCGTGAGGCGCAGCTCGTCCGGGGGAGGCTGGGGGCCTTCGTCCCCTCGTCACCTTGCTCTTGGGGGCCCCCGGTCCCGGCCTGCGGCATGTCCCGCTCGCTGGGCTGGTCGGAGCGGCCGGCCTGGGAGGCTCACGGCTTGTGTGTCGTTTCTAGGCCTGCTGGGACCAGGGCTTCAGGAGGACACCATGACCGGGAGGTGAGTGACCTGCCCCGAGGTGGCTACCGGTTCGCTGTCACAGTGTACTTCTGACGAGTCCTTTTGCAAACTGAGCACTTCCGACAGTGTTTTGATAAAGCTGCGGGCAATGATCCGTTTTTCTGTGGCTGCCGTGATTTTTCAGGACAGCTCCCTTACCCAGTATCCTACTGGGCCCTCTTTTAAGCACCCTCAGTTGTGTCTCCCTATTCTGAAGCCTCTGCATTAAGTTGGTTGTAGCTGTTCATGTGGTGTGCCACATTTTCCCCGGCCCGTCAGTAGATGTGGGATATTAATGGTGTTTTTGCTAGCACAGTGTTTGTGAACCTTCAGTGTACAGTAGAGGCTTTCCGTATTGTTTCTTTGAGTAATGGCTACTGTGCCATTGAGTCTTCTTAGGGATAGAGGGGTTGAGATTGTAAATGGTGGAGGGATTGAATCTGAATCACAGCTTTTTGTCTTAATGTTTATCTGTGGAGCTTTATGTTCTGTTGTGCATGTGTTGAAGGTAGAAGTGGGTAGCTTTGTTTAATACCACTGTATTATGAGACAGTTGCTGCATGCAGTTGAGACAGTCCTGATGTGCACGTGATGTGTGGAATGAGCCTTATAATTGCTTTACCTGGGTAATACAGACAGGTCCTTGTGAAGAATTCTTGAGAAGTTTGTGTGATGTCACTTGTCCAGTGCACGTGGGGCTGTCTCTCTGACAGTCCACATAGACTGGAGTTAATTCCTTTGAGGCTACAAATTAACAGAGGTTAATATCTTCTATAGCAGTTATCGCAACACAGGAGACTCAGTTTATGTGGTGTGTAGAAGAAAAGTAATGTTTACTCATCACAGTGTTTGTAGACATTTTAAAACATAACGCTTGCTAATGTTGAAGCCCTTTGGGTTTAGTATGAAACCTGTAGTGCCAGAAGTTTATTACAAGCAGAAAGATACAAAGTTCTCATAAATAGTTTATGTCCCAGTTACTTAGCTTTCCTGTGTGGACCGAATGTAAGGATTTGCAGTAATTTGTAAAAGCAAAAGCAGTGGGGTTTTTCCTCAGCTAAATCTCTACTGGTGTGGAAATACTTTCTGCGGAAACAGCACATGATTTGTTTTCACGTTTCACTTTTGAGTGAATTACAATTTGTAAATTTTTTCCATGTGTTTAGGCTGTGGTGCAAGGCCATTTTTGCTGGCTACAAACGTGGCCTCCGAAACCAGCGGGAGCACACTGCCCTTCTGAAAATTGAAGGTGTTTATGCACGTCAGGAGACAGACTTCTACTTGGGCAAGAGGTGTGCTTATGTATACAAAGCAAAAAAGTAAGTCACTTCCAAATTAACCAACTCCTATTATCAGCTTTTGCAAATGCCAGGGTGTGAGCAGTGTGTTTATAGAGCTGCTGTTAGAATAAAAAGAAATTGGGCTTAATTTGTCAATAGAATGTCCATGGAGTACTATGTAGACCAGTTTCCTGGCTTGGTTTCATTTTTAAAGTCCATGGTTATTTTTGCTTTAATTAGCATGTGTGTCCTTAATTCAGATCATGAAATTATGTGACATGATCATTTGCTGTTATACATGATATGTTAGAGAGTAAATGAGATGAGAACCAAATTTTGCCCGAGAGTGGCAAAAACTGAAGGCAGCTTGATAAACTGAGGTGAGGTGAATTTGTGTCGTACTATGAGCTGTTGAGTTATTAAAAAGCAGAATTATTTTGTGAACCCTGGAGGAATTTGTGCCCAGGCATTTGTATGCCTATGTCAGAGCACTGTCACTTCTGCTCTGCTGGCATTGGCAGAGGCATTAAGAACAGTTATTTACTACCCTCCATTTAATTTTTTTCTTTGAGTGTAGTTCTTAGAGTTCAGAATTGCCTGGAATAAAATTGATCAGACCATTAACTTGACCACCATAATTTCCAAGATGACTTTTTTCCTAAAGCAGTCTTTTGCAGCCCTGCCTTTGGTGTGCTTGGAGAAATCTTACAAACAAGATACTGCATTTTGTTTGGAGTTGAAATTGATGACTTTTTAGCTTGATTGTATCAGCATCAGTGTTTTCCAAATTTTTAAGCTTAGTAACTTGTTAGTAGTTCTTCAGTGGAGCTTCTGATAAATTAGAAGCTGCAATACTTACCTATTTGAAAGGTACAGTGAAAATCCCACACCTAGCAAATTTCACAGGTAAATAAAAGCGGAAGGTGGTCCAATTAAAGATGGCTGTGGATTAAAGTTAAATGCCTTAATTTATTCCTTGCTGTGGAATAAAAGAGGCTGTGTTGTCTGCCCCATCACTGATCAGCCCTGTACGGAGCTATGAGTGGTGTTCTCAGCAGTTCTTTTTCCCCTCTTTTTTCAGCAACACTGTAACCCCTGGTGGCAAGCCCAACAGGACACGAGTCATCTGGGGGAAGGTAACCCGCGCCCATGGGAACAGTGGCATGGTTCGTGCCAAGTTCCGTTCCAACCTTCCTGCCAAGGCCATTGGACACAGAATCCGGGTGGTAAGTGGATTTATTTTAGCAGCAAGATATTTATCAGCAGGTTTTGGGGTGCTTTTTAATCCCACGTAGTAAGAGGGAAAAGCTTGAACTACGTTTTTTTTCTGTTGCTGTTGTGTATTCAAGATGAGTCTTTGATAAGTGCTCCTTTTGGAGCTGTGGGAGGTTTATTGCTGGCTGCTTCTCTCATCAAGGGTTTTGTGTGCTTGCTCAGGTTGTCTGGAAAGGGTCTTCGAGTTCTGGGGCTCTTACTTGGCTCCCTTCTAAAGCTATCCTGATTTCCTTGGATCTTGTACATGTATTTTTGCACCCTTCTACTCCAGTTCCCACCATTGATAGATTTTTCTCCTACCTCCCAAGTGTTTTAACTGAGGGGTGTGCTGTCCTGACACATCCACTAGTACCTGCTCCACAGTCGATGTTTTAGCCACAAGACTGCAGGGAGACTGTCCCTTTAGGTTCCTCACCCAGAGTTTTGATGCACTATCTTTTCTTGTGATGTTACCAAATGAAGTATCAGAAGGGTGCAGTCCTTCCTTTCTGTCTTTCTCCTGTGCCTTAGAAAAAGCACAGTAGGACCGGCACAGTAAAATCCTGAAACTAATACCTGTGAGGACTCTTCTGTCAGTGAGCAGGAGGGCTGGCTGCCCGGGGAGCCTGTAGAGCAGCACAGTGCTACTTCAAGTCACTGAACTAGTGGTTAATGGTTTTCCATTCTTGCACCTCTTCTCTGTAAATGGGAGGTCACTTTTATGGTAGTTGAAGAGATTGATGATCTGGATTGTAACTGCAAAACTTGTGTTTAAAGCGGTACAGTCCAATAACAAGATTTCTAACATGATTCTATCTATTTTTGTCTTTTACAGATGCTGTATCCATCTAGGATTTAAATTTTTATTGGAAATAAAATGGAGAATCTGTTTAATTTTTGTACACTTCTGATTTTTATCCCCTCCGCCTATTTTGAGGGACTTTTTCAGTAGCATGTGGGAATTCACAGCGCAGGGCTGGAGTAGTGACTCCAAGGTAGACGAAATGGAGATTTGACCTGTGCTTGGCCAGGCTTTTGTAGAGCAGACCACGTTTTAAAGACAAGTAACTGGCAGCCTTTACTGCGGACCTGTCTGTACCTCCCATTGTGGAATCTGACTGGTTTTTAGGGCTAAACAATAAATTTTTACAACTTCATAAACTGTGCACACAGGCTTTATGTAGAACACGAGAAATAGTTCCTTGCCTACCTGCTAGAGGGAAACTTCTTGTTCCTGTTTCTCTTGTACTTGGCGAAGACTTCTGTTGAGATGAAACTGTGTAATGGGACACTAAATCATTGCAGGTGTAAGTCCTAGCTTGCATCTAAAAAAGGTGGTCCTAGAAGAATGCGAGCGTATGTACCTGGGCAGCATGCATGCCTGTAACATCTGCTCTGTGAAACTGACTTACGCACGTTTTCATCACGCAGCTCTAGTGTCTGAGCGCTAATACTTGTTGGTTTCTTGTCCAGCCTTATCATGGTGTGTATTGTGGGGTGGGGAGGATCTTTACATCAGGCTAGTGCGTCACTTTCAGGCGTTCTTTATGGTTTGTTGAACAGTAAGGTGGTGAAAAATGAATTTAAGGATTCTTAAAGTGCAAGTCTCAGAATTTCTTAGTACATCCCTCAAAAATACTGGGTACTTTTAAGGGAGGTTTTAGGCAGCTGCAGGTTGGCGTGGTTACTGCTGATGTCACAGTCCCAAAATGACCTCTCAATACCCTGGGTGGGTGATAACACTGATTCCGTGTAGTTGTCCCGTCTTTGGAAAGCATCCCTAGGCGGTGAGGTGGGTGAGTTGCATCCCTAACTTTCCCTCGGTCCTGCTCCAGCGCAGGTGCTTCCCTGTGAGCAAGAGCTTCCTTCTGCCTGTGTGCGACAGGGAGCCCTCTGAGCCGGGGGCTTCCCTTGTCTCCTGCAGCGGGCTGGTATTTCGTGACTAATCCTTCTGAAGGAGGTGGGAGTAGTCATGTATTCAGAGTATGGTATTGAGCAAATCAAGATTTTCTTTTGAATGGCAATGCAAACAAAACCGGGACCTGGCTACTCAGCTCTGGTATGGAAATTATTTTGCTGGACTTGCTTCAACAACTAAACCTGCTGTGACTGCTGTCTCCAACAGCAGGGGAGGGCTTGCAGTGGAAAGCTGCATTTTTTTGTAACGTGGAGAGGAACTGCGGCTTATGGGATGCTGGGTCGGGTCAAACAGGGCTTTGGTCTTCTGCAAATACCAACAGGTTGTACCCATCGGATTCAAAGAAGGGTGGGGTGGAATACAAATTGAATTTCCAGTTCTAGGCATTACCAGAGGAAGGAGGAGGAAACATAGTGGGCAAATCGGACTGTAACAGCAGATTAGTGGGACTGTGGTCCCTATCACGTAGCTGGATTCTGCTGATGAGAAGGTAATAAGTGCTCTTGAGTTTGAGGTAAGATGCCCAAAAATAACGTAATGATCCCTTTTCTCTCCCCTTTCATCTCTTTCTATGGTACCAGACTGCTGAGGTACAAAGCCTGTTCCTGGGAGGTCCAACATCAAATAGCCTATGGCTACAGTTTTTGAGTCTGTGTCAAAACTCCACTATTTCCTTTCACATTCATTTGGTCCCACCAAAACTGGTGTGTTTGCTTGTACCTGGTAGCTGCCGAGAGCAGCAGGCGTAGCCTGTTTCAAGGCCTTTGCGATGCAAGTGCCTTTGCTACAGCAACCCCCTTCCACTCCTTTCCCCAGCAGCACAGTAAACTGGTGTCTGGGAGGAAGCTATGGCATCAGAAAAGCCTGCTGTCCGCTGCTTCGTGGACCCAACCACCTGGGAGCTCCTCAACCTGCTGGACAGAGTGGGGAGGCAAAATGGACGGATGCTGGTGGTGGAGGTGGACGATGACAATGTGAGAACTCCCTCAGTGCTGGTGGATTTTGTCCAGGACCTGTTTGGCACAGCTGACGTCAGGGCTAAACTACAGCAGGTGGAGAGGGTGGAAGAGGAGGATGATGTTCGGCCCCATCTGATTTTTATGCTGTGGCAAGCAACTATGGTGAAGAAGCTCATGCGGTGGGATTACCTGGATGAGGCCCTCTGGGATGTGAGGAACCTCCTCCCCTGCCTGCCAGACATGCTGGTGCTCGTGGTGATCCATCCAGACCCCGAGGAGGAGCTGGACCAGACAGTGCGAGCGCTTAGGAGAATGCAGTGCCTGTTGGATGGGGCCTGGCAACTGGTGGTGGAGGCAGCGATCTACAGCCCAGGCCAGCCTGGTGGTAGCCTCGAGGCAAAGAGAGCTGCTTGTAGAGCACTGAGAGAAGTCTTGAACTGCCATGAAGGTATCCTGGGGCATAGCTAAACATGGGGGCGAGGGACAAAGACACAGGCTTTTTGGAAACAAAAACATGCTTAGGGTGGGGTGTGGAAGTGTCTGAGGGACAGTGGAGGCCAGAGTGATGCTCGGTGGCTGGGTTCAGGTACAGGAGGGAAGATAAGTTGGACCTTGTGAGCTGGAAATAAGAATAAGGGCTTAAGTGCTCGGATGGGGGTGGACAATGTGAGTCTGCACCAACTGTGTGTCCTCTTCCAAGTTGGGTGGTGGTGGCTCTTGCTCCTTGCCCCAAAGCACACGTGGCTATAGAGATGCTGCTCAGTGTAACAACTGCATTCCTGACTCCACCGCCACAGCTTTCTGCGATTACGTTAGCAGCTCCACAGCCTCACTGACCCTGCATTCTTCATTGGAGGGATGTGCCAACTCTTTTGGGGGAGCCATAGGCCAAAGCTTTGACCAGAATGATGTCTGCTGTTCTTCTATCATGTGCGTTTCCTCCCCTAGAAATCGACTCCCAGGGTCCAATTATTGTTTCGCTCCCGAAGTTCAGTTACTGCTGTGCTCTGCCTGAACATATGCGACACAAGGCATCAGAGACAGATGGAGAATGAATTCCTTCGGGCAGCGGAACCTTGCAGGTTGGTTTTAGTGCTGTTCACCCGGATGCCCCTTTGTAGAAATACTTCCGTCCTGGTGCCTTGCTTGTCTGCCCCGTCCTCCTACACGAACATGATTCAGTATGTGGCTGCTGCCAGAAGGGGACACTGCTCCTTCAGCATCACGCTGTCCTTGCTACAAAGCTCAGATTTCTTTGCTGCATTGCCTGAAGGATCTACCCCAGGAAACTTCTATCAAAAAAATAACTGAGTTTCTGCTTTGCATGAAAAGTCTTGCTGGAATATCAAAATGTCCCCCAGAAACCTGCTGGGCTGTCCCCAAGAAACCAGCTGTCAGCTGAGAGGGAGTCAGAGCAGGCCAGCTGCCTCTGGATTTTAAACTGTTCCAAAACTGAGATAGTGAAAGAAACCCAGAGGTAAGACCTAAGACCTCTTTTTCCCAGGAGATCCTGAATGCAGGGGTCTTTGGTAGTTCTCATTAGCACAAAGTTCCTGAAATTCCCCAGACTTCTTTGTAGTCACGGGATGGTGGGAGAGCAAAGTTTGCTGCCCTCTCTTGCTTATCGGACAAGATGCTGCAAACCAGACAAAGGTGCATCTCCTGTTGCAGTGCTATTTGCTGTCAGCACGTTGGCCTTTCTCAAGCTACTGTCCTCACATCGGAATAGTTGAAGGGTCTGGGATAAACTGTCCAAACTTGTTACACTGATCCATAGGATCCTTCCCACCTACCCTGATGGAAGGACCTGGGTATGGTTATGTGCATGGTATGCTCTGCAACTCGCTATTTCACAGGCAGCCGCTCCAGATGTGCCTGCTCGCCTGCTGTGGTGTGTTCGGGCACGTGGCACCTTGCTGTCATTCACACTGTGTTTTCATGCTTGCTGCCTGAGCAGCTCATGGATGTCCCGTCCCTTCAATACGATGGGTGAAAGCAGCTTGCTGTATCTTCACCCAAATTCCACTGAGGTCTGTAGATCAGGGTCCGAGTGGTGCCTTATGGAGGTGTCTGCACAGCTGTTGTGGGAGGAGTGAGAATGGTGTGGGCTGAGCCCGCAGCCGGTACAGGGCTGAGAATCAGCTGGAGGGAGGACAGTCCTGATCTGTGCCCGAGTGCAGACTGACCCTGCTGAGCCCTTCTGTAACAGGAAAATCCATCAGCAGCCACCTCAAACTGGAGGCACTGCAAGTAAAACAGTACGTTTGTGTTCGCTGCCCCTCATTCCTGCGGGGGTGTAAAAATTCATCTATGCAGATGAAAACCCAACACTTAGCCAAAGGAGCTGTTGCAGGGACCTGGCCTTGCATTCAAGTGGGTACCAGTAGACATCCAGCAGGCTGAATTACTGGGATGGATTATTTTGGATGGGATTATTTATCTGGGAGCAGTGGATTATTTTTGTTTCTAAGGCCAGTGACCCATATAATAGCTGAACTCAATTCCTATCCTCTCTGGGCATGGCAAGGCACTATGCTTAGCTGTACGTTTTTCCATTAGGAGTTCATATGTATTTTTTCTCTGTTTTTGTTTTTTTTTACAGATCTTCTGCCCACCTAAGATCTTAACTATCACCAAAAGAAGTATTAAAAACCTGGTACTTGTTTCATTTCTCTGTGTGTCTGTGTGTACCTATAAGCTTTAAAGCTGTACATCAAAGGCTGTGTAACTCCTTCTGAAGCTGCAGGTTTGTGCAGCGCAGCACAGAAGGGGTGGGCTTTGAGGGTGGTACAGAGCCTCTGAATGAACATTTCTCAGGGAAAGGATCCTCCGGGTTATTTTTCAAATATGAGTTCTTTCCGCATCCTTAAGGACAGTGTGGCTTTATGAAGCAAAGCAACCTTGCTGCAGGTGTTTGGATGGTGCTGGTGCTTGGCAGCCTCTTGGATGAGGTGCCGTTTCTGTGAAAAAACCTGTTTTAAAGGATGGGGGGAAACCAACCTTGTCCAATTCTA